AGTACAGCGCAGCCTCAGGCATGTGTGAGGACGGCTCCAGGAGCAGGACCCCAACAAGTGAGTCAGTCGCTTCACGTAAAGACGAATCGCTGGTGTATTTTGCCGGCATGTGTTTTCTCACGGCGGTTTACTTGCATGTTCCACAGAGGTCCAGGAGCAGCGTTTATTCGCAGCTTTGCTGATCAAGTGTGTCGTGCAGCTGGAGCTGATCCAGACTATCGACAACATCGTGTTTTTTCCTGCCACCAGTAAGAAGGAAGATGCTGAGAACTTTGCTGCTGCTCAGGTACAAACCACTTTGGTTCATTAATAATCCTGATTGTTGATTAGTAGTTTTGTGTAGAAATGTTAATGTTTTGTTCTTGTGGTAAATGATTCAAGTTGGTAATAATCCATCATTTTTCTTGTCTTTTTGAAGCGGGATGTTGTGTGTGCAGCTGATGTCCCAGTAGAGACCCAGGACCAGGGCATGTATCGCTACCTGACCTCCGAGCAGCTTTTCAAACTGCTGGACTGCCTGCTGGAGTCACACCACTTTGCCAAGGCTTTCAACTCCAACAACGAACAGAGGACCTTACTATGGAAAGCAGGTCGGAGAAGAAAGCCACTGTCTGCATCTTTATCGCTTTGCGTTCGATCAAGCAATCAGAATAATAATAATACCCAGCTGGCTGTGGAGGCTTTTGTGTTGCTTCTTGGGGCAAATTAGGGATGACTTGTCATAACTAAAAAAAATCTGCTTAAAATGGCTTTAAATGTAACTTTGTTCAACTTCAAATGTGCATATTCAAGGTTTCAAAGGAAAATCGAAGCCCAACCTGTTGAAGCAGGAGACCAGCAGCCTGGCGTGTGGGCTGCGCATCCTGTTTCGTATGTACACAGACGAGAGCCGCCGGGACGCCTGGGAGGAAGTCCAGAGACGGCTGCTCAAGTAAGGACCACATACTGTATCACTGATGGACAGCTTTATCACTGCATGTGCTAACTTCTCCAATGAGTCAGTGGATTTGAGAATAACGCCCACGCAGTAGACAAAGCAGAGGAGACTCCCTAAACAGGTTGAACTACTGATCTTTGTAATGGCTTCTGGGGTTGCTCTGCTCATTTTCATCCCTGTACTTATGCTGTCTGCATCTCCTCACAGTCCCTTATCATTTTTAATGGAGCAAACCACCGCTAAACATATGCTTAGTGACAGTTGGAACAATAGATGTATCTGTGCATATGCATAGCAATTTACTCTGTTTGACAAATCTCATACACCAACTGGTGCTTTTGTTGTTGAGACTTTGAACGCATGATGAATATGCTCAGAACTTGTAAATATAAAACCCATCTTTGTGCAGCAACTCACAGCAACAGTAATTTAATTAGGTGTACGCCTGGGAGAGATGAATATGGGTGTTTTGGCTCAGATTATGTTTATGATTCTAAAAGCTCAATCTTCCATTTTTTATTATTTTTTACTTTAATACGTCCTGAAGAAAATGAGAACAAATGAATGATGATGATAATAGTAACAATAATGCAGTCCCAGTTATTCAAAATGCTCCAGATCTCTAAGGCTCTTTTTTTTTTCCCCCAAAACTGCTGACACCAGATCCAGGCTGTTGCTGCCAGAGCAACTGTAAAATATTAATATTGGCCAGCAGTAATCAGTCATCTCAGCCCCTTGGATGCCAATAACTACAGTGTGTTACCTATGGCAAAGGCACAGCATGAGCACAGCTCTGCAGTTGTCTGAAATGGATGCTGTGTGCTGTATAGATCCCAAGGAATCAGCACACTGATGCTTCATTGTACAGTCAGCACTGCTGTCATCACAGCATCTTTATTCAGCACCTCACAAAACAGCCATCACCCCATTTCTCTCCCCGCCTCGGCTTCCTATCGATGATGATATCAAGATAAAGCAGAATCATCGCCCGTCTCTCCTGCTTGAATTCATTACTAGAGAGAAGATGAGAATGGATGCAGGTGGAGGAGGAGGAGGGTAGTTCCTGCATGTGTGCTTTGGCCAGAAATCTTAATTCACAGAGATGTGTCACTTTGTGTTCCTGTCCTCTTTCTCAAAATCGCCTCATCCAGAAACAACAGAGGCATACGTTTATTCTTAAATTACGCACATGCACGTCCTTGTTTACCAGAGGCCATGCAGCATCCATGCAAGTTTGATTAGTGCAAACAGATCAAAACAGATTTGGAAGGCGATTAGGTCACAGAAGTGCGACGGAGCTGTGAGTGTGAACGGGGGGGAGGGGGAGGGAGGGCGAGAGAGAGGGGGGTGGAATTGCTAACAGATGGAGCTGATGTCAGAAGAGGGCCGCCGGGTCAGAGAAGAAGGTCGAAGGTTGTGTCAGTTTTCCTCAAGCTTAAACTGTGAAGTAAAGTGCCTATAATTGTTTTCATAATAGCCTCAGTCAGTCGCTTTAATTAGCACTTACTGAGCAAAAACAATCTTCATCATCCTCATCTCAGCAATGTTTCATGTGACAAGTGAGGCAGAGAAGCAGATGCTGTCTCGCCATAACAACACAGCAATAAGAGGCAGTTTGGTTTTTTGTTTTTGTTTTTTTTTAGTTAATGCTTTCAGAGTTTCTAGGCTCGCCGTGTTTAATGCTCTCCCAGTGCGGTAATATACATCCGTGCTTCTGTTTTTGTGCAGCGTGTGCAGCGAGGCTGTAGCGTACTTCTTGGCTCTGACCTCTGAAAGCCACAGAGAGGCCTGGACCAACCTGCTGCTGCTCTTCCTCACCAAGGTGCTAAAGATCAGTGATGAAAGGGTAAGAAGCCAGAACACATGCTGATGCCTTTACTGACTGCAGTGGTGTGCACAGCCTTGTACACACATGCAAGCCACAGTGGATGTCCAACACAAATACATGAGACAGTCATTCCCTTTGTATTAGCACTTTAGAATACATAACTGCACTGTCAGTATATTATTGGTATAACAGGTAAAAAATAGAAGTTGACGTTAAATTGTTATCCATTTTTCAAACTTTGCAGTGTTATGTGCCTTGTTTTGATGCATAATATTGGAATTTTGCTGAGAGTCATTTTAAATGAATGCTGATACTGATATATGCACATATTTTTTCCACCTAATTGCAAAGACATGAAGTAGAGTTTACATGTTCTCCCCGTGCAGCGTGGGTTCTCTCCTGGTTCTCCAGCTTCCTCCCACAAGTCCAAAAACATGTTGAGGTTAATTGGTGATTCTAAATTGTCCGTAGGTGTGAATGTGAGTGTGCTTGGTTGTCTGTCTAAATGTAGCCCTGTGATAGACTGGTGACCTGTCCAGGGTGTCCCCTGCCTTTGCCCTAAGTCAGCTGGGATAGACTCCAGCCCCCGCAACCCTAGTGAGGATTAAGCGGTGTATAGATAATGGATGGATGGATGGATGGATGTTTAAAAAGATAAAAACAGTGGTTGAATGTTGCTCATTACACATACAGACTTGTGAGTCTGCTGCTCATACATGCTGTATGTTGTTCATACATGGAGATTACTTTGATGTATTTCTGCCTACATTAAATTACTATTAAAAAATATTGGGCTGTAGTGTGAGTGTGTGCGCGTGACTGTATATAACATTTGTATGCTTCAAACATCTCCAGGGATAGTGGAGGTTGTGAGTCTCTGACACTTGTTTTAAGAGTTGGGGGCTGAAAAGTTTGGAAACTACTGAACTAGCATATAAATAAGACTTGTGTAACTTTCTTCTGCGTTCCACAAAGTCTTTGTCTCATTCTGTCTCTTTCTTGCCTTGTCTCTCATCCCGCCTCCACTTTCAGTTCAAGGCTCATGCGTCCAGATACTACCCTCTCCTGTGTGAGATCATGCAGTTCGACCTGATCCCTGAGCTCCGGGCTGTTCTAAGAAAGTTCTACCTGCGTATCGGCCTCGTGTTTCACATCGCACAGCTGCCTGAGCCCGATCCAGACCCTCAGCAGGCACACGTTGAGCCAGAGACGGACACGGAGGTCGGAGAGGAGGCCGGGGAGGAGGCCCAGTGATGCTGCACCGCAAACAGCCCGGAACACAAAGCTGTACTGAGGCCTCCACCGCAGATCTGTGTGACTGTGCTGTGGCTCTGTGCTGCCTCAGGGCCCTCCATGTGTTTTAAGCCGAACACTTGACTTAAATGGCTGATTACCAATCGGCCATCTGTTACCACACACCCGCACCCTTAACCCTGTCACCACACACACACACACACACACACACACACACACAGACATGCCTGTACCCACAAACAGCCCAGACAGAGTACTTGATATCACGATGAAAACAGTAATGTCTTGTACCAGGTGTAGCGATGCCTCCACTGGATAAAACTACTGAATAAACAACTGACAGTTACCCATATCTCTGATCTGCTCAGAAGGAATATATTTCAAAAAATGTGTGCTTCTTACTGTATATTTAAAAAGTAAAGCGTGAATGGTTTCAGCAACATGCAAAAAGACATATTCAGCAACTATGAAATGTGGCATTTGTCACACATTGATAGTAATGATCTTTCTGTCTGCACCGCAGATGGCTAACATTAGTACTGATAGCCTCTTGGATGAAACTAGTTGTACAGATCTGCCGCTATGTAATATAATCTTATAACACTAGATTTCATTTATTTTTGTTTATTATTTTTCCTTCTCTGGATTTGCTGCACTTGATCTCTGTTTTTGAATGCACTGGAGATTTTACTTTTGTGATAATTTATTTGACTGTACCATCTCCTGCAGATTGTCCAACACAGTACGATTTGTAATTAAACAAGACCGCAAGTGAAGGGTTAAATTATTCCATTTTATATGTTCTTAGGTTTTTAACGGAGATAGATGATAACTGGGCTTCTGGAACTGGAAGACAAGAGGGCGAACTGATGCTAGCTGCTTTTGAATCACTAGTTGGTTTTCTGTTTTCACGTGAGTTTAGTTTTCACTCTTGTGTACAAAATCAAAAGTTAATAATATATTTAATGTTTTGGGTTTTTGTTTTTTTTCTTTGATTTGGGGGAAAGTTATATGTATAGAGAAAATGACAAATGTTAGCTGTGCTTTAAGTATGAATGGGATGCATTCCTGCTCATGGATGTAGAAAACAAAATGTATATGATACAGCAATGTAAAGTTTTCTATGTTGCAAAAGATTATGTACAACTTTCTGTACAATACATCATCTGGCATTCTAATCAGGTTCTAGGTCAATAAAGTTTTTGAACTTGGTTGATTTGAAATGCTGAATCACTGACTTACAGTAACTGATAGCTTTTTCATTTTTACAATAATGAGCAGCCGGACGACATTGTGATACTTTTATTATTTAAAGAATAACTCCCTATAACTCAGGTAACTACATTGGCATGTACATACGTTTATGGTACATTCACAGTTAAACACTTTACAAAAATTTAGTCTGTAAATTCTGTATTTTGTAAAAATCGACAGAAGCAAGTGTTGTTTGATTTTTCTCGAATCTAACAATATATTTTCTGAAAGACTCTTGTCTCTGTCAATAAGCCCCTGCAACAACAAAGAAAAAAACAAAGTATTCACACACAGCAAGCATGTTTGTTTTAAGCAGAACCACCACCTGTTTCTTTTGGGAACGGGGGATTCAGAATCTCCCATCCTTGGAGAGTAGCTACGTTACGCGGTGCGTCAGCCAGGGTGGAGCATCCATCCTGCTGCTCGGTCTCTCTCTGCAGCCTGAGTGTTTTACAGCATCTGACGTTCCGGGTCGCAGCCAAGGATCTGTGGCAACTGTCTCCACGGAGACACGCCCCCCCAAGGCAGAGCGCAGGGACAAGACGTCCACTTCATCAGGAGACAGCCTCTCTGGATAGTACAGGTGCTTATTCATCACACATTTCTTGAGGCAGTCACATATTTAAGGATGCTTAAAAAAATTTTGCTCACATACTTTTGTTTAGGCCTCATCGTTTTTACAGGCAGGATTAAGATTTGCGATTCTTTTCTAACAATGCTTCATATCTGCCTCATATTTTTGTAAAGGTTTAGTAAGAGACTCAAGCACAGGGGGCCAACACACTAGTTTTTTTCTTTGTTTTTAATGTAAATACCTTTGATAGTGAATTCTTTCCTCTCACCTGTTCTTCTGTTGTTATGATCTCCAGCGCAAGTGTGTTCTCTGAGGATGTGGTTGTGGTTTTGGTCCCTGACTTTAGATCTGAGGTTCAGACTCGTGGCTGACTGCAGAGATTGGTTGTCTGACTGATTGTCACGATCCCTCTGATCCATGGAGTCACCTACCTCCTGTAAAAAAAAAAGAAAGAAAATACAAGGAGATGTCACACTTTAGTGACATACATCATTTTGAACCGAAGAATCAATTTACTGATCAGCACCATACATCACAGTAACGTCTCCCTCGTGGGGCTGTCCTCTCTCGGTGCTGGTGAACCTGGTCAAATGCATCCCCGCTATAAACATCTGAAAAAGCCCAAAAAAAGCATTCATCATTCCACAATGTAAATGTCGTTACAGACGAGCAGAGGTTAGGGGCCAAAAATTTCATTCGGCTAATGCATATGTAAAATGAAAATGGTGAAAAAGTCCATTCAGCAAAACCTTTTAGGGAAATGAGGCAGAACGATGTATGAGGGAGAGTATTTAAAAGCCTCCTTCTCTGCATCAGGCTTGTTAACAATTTTTTGTCTTAACGCCTGGCGCTCTGCTATCATCACCCTGCAGCTGGCATGGGCACCTTGCACCCAGCACTAGCAGCAGCTGCAACACAGGGACATGAGCTGGCATGTGCCACGGTTAGGCTGGCACACAGACAAAGAGCTAAATTGGCCTGGCACACAGACTGCTGCAGTATGGCACTGCGAGGGTGTATGTAGCAAGCCTCCCAATCCATGTCACCTTTATGGAAAACGTCTGCTGCCTTGGAAAAAGAAAACTCCCAAAGTGCATTGTGTCCACACTGATGTAAACACAGAACGCAACAAGACAAGAGGAGCAGGGACAGTCTTTACAAACAGGCTGTGTTCATCCAGGCTTACCCATAAAAGCAGACTGAGATGGCAAAAGGGAGTCTCTGTGGATGAAGGATCCAGGTTTCCTCCCCTGACAGTAGACACAAATAAAATGTCAACAATTAGGAAGAATAAACCGTGCTAGGCTGACTCATCTAATCTGTCAGGATGAAAGTGTATAATGTGTTGAATGGCTGTTGACCACTTACAGGATAGTAATGGTCTTGCTGATGGTCCAAAAAGTCTAAAAAAGAAAAAAGGAAGACAGAACACAGGTGTTACAGAGCACAATAGATTCTGAAAATACTGGTGCGATTCTGCTCACATACCGTGCTCTTTCTGTCTATTCATAATCCTGATTTTGCGCTCTTGTTCACGTAGAAGTGCCTGCTGTTGGATGTCCAGACTTTGTGCGTCAGTGGGAGGGTCAGGGTACACGGCTCGGACCTCTTTGCGAGATGCTGTATCTGACAGATTAAAGCAAGGTATGTCCAGTGTCCCCTATCTGAACTACAATAACAGTCAAGCAGCTTTTTTTCCTGCCTGAACACCAAAACAAGCAGATGTAAAACCGTCACTCTGATGAACAATTAAATGAGTCTCTAAGAGGATCGACTCATTTTAAAATCCTAACCACTGCATATACTGTATATCACATACCTGTTAGTATCTCATAAAAGCAGTATGTACAAAGTATTTATTCCTGTCATCAGAATCTCCACATTCTTCATTTTAAACATGCTCTTCTATACATATCCAAAGCTGCACATACCAGTTAAACACTCATTTTCCTTTCTTTGACCTGTTGCTTTGAGAAAGAAAAGAGAAAAAAAATCTAAGTCAAATTCCTTTCGTGTGTGTTTACATACTTGGCCAGGAAAGCTGATTCTGGCTTCTTTTTTTTTTCCAGCCGAGGAAGTAATAACAGCTGCATTAGCACAATAGTAAATAGCAAAGACAGGTTGACCAGACAAAGATAAACATTAAAGTAGAGCAATTTACATTTATGATGGATAATGCCTAATTGTGCTCCCTCCTCACTTTCTCAGCAGTCTCCCTCTCTAAATGAGCAGTTTGGCAGCGATTCAGCATCTTAACAGCCCGGCTTCATCCTTCCAACTATGTCCCATCAGGGTTTGACTGTGGAGAATGGATCTGATGCAGCTTTCAGATGCAGGTTTTGCATAAATCCCTTATTTACATGTGGAAGTTTGGTAAACGATTTGGTCGATTTGCCACAAACTACAATTTCTGCCTATTTATTTATTTCTTTATTTTACGTTCTGCAGGTCTGAGCGTCTTTCAGACCCCTGCATTTACTCAGTCTGGGAACCCGTCCAAAGCCATTTCTTTGGTTGCTTGCATTACATTCACTGTTTACGCTGCCAAACTGCCTGTCACTGATGGACGCCTCCCATGACCTCATGAGATTAAAGTTTCAGTGTGGCGAGTGGGAGACAGAGGACTGATAAGGTTCTGGAAAGGTTAAACCATCTAGCAGCGTCCAGCTAGTTTAAGATCCCTCGTCCTTGCTTCTAGAACATGACCAAGGCAACCATACAAGTATCCTCAATGACTTCCTCAGAATGGCTTAGAGTACACAAGCTAAAGATAATAGTCAATTCACCAATATTTAAAACACATTTAAAGCATAGATACTGCACAGAAAACTGAGTAAGGGCGTGTTTCTTGCAGTAAATGGTGAACTGACTGGTGAGCAGAAACACTTCTTTCAAAAACGAAAGCTGTTTCCAATCCGTCACAGTGTCTTTCATTACCTCTGTATTTAAGCTGGTTGAACTCCCTGATGTTTTGCATATTAACACGTTCAGCAGCAGCAGCCTCTCTGGGTCGTCTTCTGCACACGAGCAAAGGAAGAAATCCCCACTTTAAACAGAACAACTGCCTCCAACAACACACAGATGTCTCAGTGAAAATGTGCCAGTAGTTCACTGTGCCAAACGCTTTCCAGTTGTGCACAATAACTATAACACTCAGCTCTTCTTGTTACACTGTCTGTTTCAAAGGGAATGAATTTAGTATTGCTCTAAAAGAATAAGGACACAACACCTGGTCTGTGTTTGTTAAATACTTATCAGTGCTTTTATGATGCCTAAAGCACTGGGCTTTCTGTGTAAGCTGCTTGTAACCAAAGAAAAGCTGTGAAATTGGCACCAATCCAAAGGCATTGCTCAGATGATTTGCAATAAGCTAATTTGAATACAAGCAGAGACTTACAAGTAGCTTGTAATACATTCTTATAATTGTAGGGGGTGGCGTGGTTTCTCTGCTCCTTAGCTATGCGTGGTTTGTAGGATGGGCAGAGGAGATAAATAAGTAGTGCCCTCCAGCAAAACATTGATTCCCTGTTTGACCCTAAACTGCAGCTGAGCAAAGCGAAGACCAACGAAGAGAAAAATTTTCCCTTTGGCGATCTTATTGGTACATTACTGCAAAAACGAGTCCTTGAAACGAATCAGAATGAAGATTAGAAGGTAACCAGTTCGACCCAGGTCACTTTGATTAGTTCAGAGCACAAAAAGCCTACAATAGTAATAGCAAATCAAAATTGCAATTTAACAAGATGGAATTATTCTGTCTTCGCTTTAACACATCTGGAGGTGAATTAGGTGAAATTGGACATCTAATAGCTTTTTCCAAATTACCAAATCGAAGTCAGGGAAAAAAAAAATGAAATCCCTTTTATTCTGTGCACCTCCACACTGTAATATCTGACCCTGATACCTGCTGGGGGGAGTGTACTGGGTCTCTGGCGGACCAATCTGGCCCTCCAATTGTCTCTGCTCATTTCTCAGATGCCTCCGGAGGAGTGACAGCTGTCTGATCACTTCCTGTTGCTCATCTGAAGCAAGAAGAGGGAGTGGAGGGAGACAGAGACAAGGATCAGATATGTAAGTGGCAATTTATAGCTGACATACAGCCGAGCTTCTATTCTTTTATATACAGAAGTCAAGACAGTCTTACCGTCTAGCTGGGGTATTCTCGCAGGGGCTGGTCGGGGGTGTGGCGCTGACACAGAGCGCTCCTGTGAAAATTGTGAGCATTTTACAGAAATATGGTAAATTCATCTCAGAATTACAGGAACAACCTTGGTATTAAAATATCTGCTTCCATTTTTAGTGACGTACAGTCCTGGGTGAGAGTTGGCTCACAACAGAGGAAGGCCTCGATGCCACACGATTTGTTTGCTTCTTCCACAAGGTTGGGATGGGAGGAGACAGCTCTCTCTGAAAAATAATGAGCAGAGTCACATTCTTTGACAAAGACGCTCAATAAACAACAAGCTAGCGTACCCGTTTTTTTTTTTCAGGCTTACTGTACCTCATAATTCAACTGTGAAATATTCTCCTCTCCTGTCTTGGCACTCTGCAGCACCTTGTCAGTCTCTTTGTCTTGCCTCACCCTCTTTTCCTCCTCCTGGCGATGTGTATGAGGTTTATGGCTCCCGCTTTGGTTTTCCAGCCTGTGCTGCAGAGACCAAACAAAACAGTTTTTCAGTGGACAGTCTGGTGCGAGGAGACCCCCTCCAAAATGTAAGGAAGGAGGAACAATAAAGTGAGATCATCAAAGAGGTGAACTCCTCACCTCAATCTTCTTTTGTTTCTTTTGCTCGGCCTCATATTCCTGCTGTATGTTAGCCCTCTGCTTCGCCAGCCTCTGCTCCTCTTTCTCCTCCTCAATCCTCATGCATTCTCTCTCCTCTGCCTGCTTTCTCTTTTTATCCTCTATCTGTTTGAAATGCAAATTCACAGTTACAACTATTTAGGAACACTGGGATGGTTGTAAGCAATAAAAACTTGGACAGGACAGACATACTACAGTGTTTGATCGACACCATTCAGGCAGTTCGCTGCATAGACTGAGGGCTGTGAATCCAGACCTGCTGTACCTGTTGTTTCAGGGCTTCTTGGTATTTGTCCTGCATGTAAAACTGCTGTGGAGGTGTGTGATCAGTGGAACCTTTAAGGATGAACAGGGATATAAAAAGGCAAAAAGCAGTGATTTAAAAAAGAAGAGAAATGTGTACAGGTAATACATCTGATGCAAGAGCCAAGTTGGTCACAACTTTGGCACAATGTGTGAGACAGAAAACCACCTGATGGTTGATGGGAAAAGGGAGTCCTGGCTTCAGTGGGATTCCTGTTTGACTTCTCATTGCTCCTGTGCATTTGATTCAGGTCACCTGAGAAGAAGGAAGTATTTATAACTATCTGAAATGTGATGTGTTGACATTTATTGTGATGCATCTTAATAGTATCTCAGGTTTATCAGGTTACATTAAAACAAAAAAAAAGCAAAAACCAACTCACTAACAAGGTTGCCTTTTTGGTCTTTAATCGGAGCGCCTCCACCACTTCTGCCCCAGGGATCGTATGCCATCATCTCAGCCTCTATCCTCGCATCATATCGCATCTGCTCTTCTTTCTCTCTTCTTTTACGCTCCTCGTTTTCTTTAATCTGGACACAAGGAAGGAAGGATGTTATAAAAGTTGAAGCACTTTCTGAGACAGCTTAGGCCATGCTATGTTAAAGGAATAAGATTTTGCTCATTGCACCTGCTGTCTGAGTGCTTCTTGGTAGCTCAGTACCCTCTCCCTCTTCTGCTTGGACTTGTCTTCATGAAGCTCTTCGAAAGCCGAGGGAGGTGCTGTATACCGACGAGTTGCTCTAAAAGCAGACAGAGTGGCAAATAACAAGGAGGGATATGCAGGGGAGGCAGTGACAGACATACAGCTTGCTGTGAGGGCCCCCTTCTGGAAGAGAAAACAGACTGAATACAGAAGGTGGCACTCACTGCAAATTTATTTCCAAGGCAAAGGACAGGAGTAGCATGCATTCTGAAACTGTACTATATTTGTCATCTGAACGAATAAACTTTTATTGCAAAAATAAAGGTGCTGGAATGGGCACTGACTTAATGATGCCACTGGATCTGGGAGGATGTGGCTTTTGAAAAGGAATCTCGAAATTCTCAACCTCTCTGGGCAGGCCATCTGGTGAATAAAATACAGAAAAAAATGAATAATTAATACACACCTTTTAACAAATTCATCAACTATTTGCTGCCACTGTTTGCCAGGTTTTCTGTCCAACTGTAAACATTTTGTGAGCTCAGACTGGATCAGAAATTTGGCAGTCGAATAAAAAGGGAAAGGAAATAAATGTAACCAAACAGACCAGCTGGACGACGTGAGAATTGTATCCAATAAACTGTATATTCCCAGAGTAATTAAATCATTTCTGCTGTAAAATGAGATTTATGAATAGATGTGCTAAGTCCTTGTGATAATTGATATGCTGATTAAAAAATGGTTTCATAATAAAAGGTAACAGTCCTCTACAGATAGGGTTTGTTTAAGGCAATGTGATATTTCCATCTAAGATTAAACTTTATATGTATGTATACTGCAAGCTAGATAATAATCATGAAAACACTTGACTGCAACACAATGATTATGCAACTTTGACAGTTTGTAAGTGAAGTGAAATCAGTAGTTGTCTGGTATGCACAGTTGTGAACAAAAGTTTATGTACACTTGTAAAGACCACGTATATCATGGCAGTCTTGGGTTTCCAATGACTCTTAATTTTCTATGATGGAACAAATTAAACACACAAAGTCACAAAAAGCAATCAAGCATTTTTGTTTTTTTCATAGATTTAATACAGGTTGTCTGGAAATATGACAAAACCTCCTGGGTCAAAAATTTACATACAGCAAGTTTAATGATCAATTTTGGTGATGTACAAAGTTGTGTGCATCAAATTTTCTTAATGGCATGGCCTCTTAACTTCTTCTGAGTGACTATGATTGTCTACCACTGCTGATTCCTCTAAGCCAATTCAAATAGGGCCCATTTGATAAACTCATTAGACTTAACCACAAACAGTACAGTGGGAAAGTCTGATGAGCTCAGAAAAGATCAGAAAAATCTAAACATTGACTTGCATAAGTCAGGAAAGTTATTTGGAGACATTCCAAAGCAGCTGCTGATGCCAAATCAGTCACTGCCACAATCAGAAAGAAAACATTAACTATCCCCTGCTGCTGAGAGACAGCTAGTCAGGATGGTCAAGAGTCCACCAAGAATCACCATAAGTAGGTCTGCAATAAATTAGAAGCTACTGGAACACAGATGTCAGTATCCAGAGTCAGGCGTGTTTTGCATCACCATGAATGAAGAGGCTGCTGTGCTAAAACGGGACCCTTCCTCTAGAAGCAGAACCTTAAGGCTCGACAGAATTTTGCTGCTGATGACATGGTCAGAGAAAAGTCCTTCTGGAAGATAGTTCTGTGGCCAGATTAAGGTTTTAGACTTGCCTTCCCAGAGTCCTGACTTAAACCCCATCAACAACCTGTGAACTGTGATGAAGAAACACGTGTGTCAGAAAGCCAACAAAATTAGTTAAACTGCACTAATTCTGTCAAGTGGAGTGCTCAAAGATACAGCCAGAAATTTTCCAGAAGCTCATGAATGGCTACCAAAAGTGTGTAGTTGAGGTGAAAATGGCCATTTGACCAAATATTAGCTTTGTTGTATGTATATTTTTGACCCAGCAGATTTTGTCATATTTTCAGAAGACCTATAATAAATCTATGAAAGAACCACAATGCATGATTGCTTTTTGTAACAAAGACACGTGTTTTAATGATTTGATTATAGAAAATTAAGAGTTATAGGAGCCACTGGAAGCTCAAGACTGCCATGATATATGTGGTCTTTTCAAGTGTATGTATGTAGAGATAAAGATCATAAATACCAAAAACTATAGCATGCTTTTAAAAAAAGTTAGCAGTAATGCAAAGTAAACATGGGGGGGAAAAGGCAAAGAACATTTCTTTAAAATTAACATTTCTATACAGAGGTGGTTGTAATACTATACTCTGATTGTAAGGGAGATAAGGATCTAATGGATTCCTGGTTCCATAGTAGTAATAAGCTGCATCATATGGAGTCTTGTAAGTATTAGGTACAATGGGAGGTAGAGGAGGAGCAACTTCAGAAACCCTGAAAAACATAATTGCCAAAACTACAGTGAGTTTACAGCAGACTTAGTGATGTCATTCATGTATAGGAACACAAAGCAACTGTAAACTACCTTGGGATGGTCACCTCTCCAAGCATGTTTGTGAAGTTCCTGTGGTAGTCCTCACTAAAATAATCCAAGGAGGGGATGCCTTGTGTTACTCCCATCTCAGACCGAGGCACCGTCACCTCTGACTTTCCTCTGGGAACCGCCTGTTCTGTGTTGTCAGTGGGTTTATAGTCTTTAGGCCTGGGATTTGTATCCTTCCCTTCAGCCTCCAGGTCTATTCCAGGTTTGTGAGGAACATCCCGTCTCAAGTTGTCATGCTGCCGATTTACAGCCCCAAACTGCTTTATTCGGTCAGGCTGGAAGAGGTGATGCAAAAAAAAGATCCATCAAAAGAAATCAGACAACACATAAGGAAAAAGATATATCAAGCTGTTGCTCAAGGTCGTGTTGTGCAGCCAGAGAAAAGTACAATAATCACCATGTAGGATGCTGATAATGTTGCAAAATGTTATCCAATAACTGAGAGCTACAACAACAAATGCAGGACTGTGACAAACGTGAGGAAGGATGAGGCGTTCAGAGAATCACATCTTGTAATGTTTAGCAGAACTGCACAAATTTTTAGTTCAATATTTTACTGCAACCTCTTTCTCAGGGTCTGTGGCTCCAGTGGCAGCAACTGTCAGCTCAAGTGTTCTCTCCCTGAGAAAAAAAAAAAAAACTGTGTTGCAAATCATCCCATATTTATTTTTTATTTTTTTTGCTTGTTGACTGACAGGGATGTCACAGCTGAAACAACTCCAATGAAAATGATGGTTCAGAGAACAAATACTTACTTTATCTTGTTTCTCTGCTTTTCAGCAATCTGTCTCAGCAGCTCCTGCCCATATTGTTCTTTCTTCATCTGAGCAACCATCTGATCCTCTGTTGCCCCTGCACCAGAACAAAGAGCCATAAACATACAAGTGCTGCCACCTGCTATTCTGACACAGGATTTTAACTGACAAATTAGATCCACAGTTCCACAAGTACGTAAATATGTGCAATAAGAATAGCTTTTACCAATCATGAGTCCCGTAGCAAAGTCACGCTTCTCCTTGCCGATACCAGGTGTAGACCTTGCAGCTGTCCTCATGTTGTCTGGCATTTGCAGCCTACTGAAGATACACAAACAGAATGAAACACTCCACAAGAACCATCCAATTACTGACAGCATAAAAGGGTAACAGCACTGCAATCAGTTCCCCTCTGAGCCACACCCAGCTACGATTTTACGTCACACACTTCCTCACAATTTGCCTGCAGAGCTTCGTGATCTATAACTCAGAGGCTGGGAGTAAAGGCTCACCCTCCAATCAATCCAGCCTTTCTGATAGACCTGGGGTGAGTAATTGTTTGCCTGGAGCTGGGCCAAGGCTCACGCTCCATCACCACCCAACATTTAAGCAGCTTGCTGACAGTAACTCATTTTAATGGCATAAACCAGAAACAGTGAAATGCAGCAACAGCATGTAGGAGAAATGCCGAAGAGCAATAACTGATTATGGAAGCAATTATCAGTACCTATATTGTGTTACATTCACCCATTGTTGGCTCATTCAACTGTAGTGCTTTATTGATTCTGAAAATTTATGAGACTTTCCAGGAGGATGTTAATGGATGTCTCACTCTGGCAAGATCAGTCAACCAGGAAATCATTCCCCAAAAGCATCTGAAGGCTAAGATTATCTTAGGCCCATTGCTAAATGTATGGGCTAAGATCATTTAGCTGCCAGATGCTTTTGGGAAATGGGGCCCATATTGTGCACAGAAATAATTCTTACTTACTCTGACTTCCAAATCCTATCATTACTGTTCTGATCACGAACAACAGGGGCCTCCTTTATGTCCTCGCAAGCTCTGCCATAGAAACAGACAGGTACCAGCAGAAAGACTATAATACAAAACCTGAACTTGTCCCTAAGATAATAGATAAAAATATCAGTTGTTTAAAATCACTCTTCAAAAAAAAAAAAAAAGAGCTACACCTGTTCACTCTGTGCTCTCGGGTTCTTCTCTCCTCTTTGTACTCTTGAGTGCGTCTGTCTTGCCTCCTCCTGCCTCTAAAATCAGACTCCCGCTCTTCATCTGTGTTAAGCTCCTCCTCAGAGCTATAGGGCTCTTTTTGTCTGTAGAGTTGCCAGCGCCTTCGCCGCTGATAACCTGGACCCCAAGTCTCTGTGCTTTTTCCATTATCCACCACCTCAGTCAGAGTGGCTGCGTCTCTCCGGGATGCAGGGTGCTCATTTCGAGGAGGGGGTATTTTTGCATTGGTATTGAGGAAAGACAGGGGAGAGTCTTGAAGAGAAACGTTCACAGCATCTGAAACTTGAACCTGTCCAGACTTGCAGTGAAAATATGGGGCAAAAATTAAAAATGAAAATATTTTAGTGGGTGGCATACAAGTGTTTCATCATTTATATTTCATTCATTTAGTGAGCTGTATCTACTTGATAAAAGCATTTGTAATAATAAACAATTTGTAACTTGATTCATCTTTAAGACTTTGCTGTAAAACTATCACAAATCACATACCACTGCACCAAATGCACTGTAGTATTGCGTACTTATCCTAAGCTACATACTTCTGCAGTGACAGGAGCTGTTGTCCTCTTTAACTTTCTGATTTGAGCTTGTTCTTGGAGGAATAGGCTGTATTCTTTATTTCTCTCTTCTCTTAGTTTTTGCTGTGAGAGAAAACAAATTCAGAGACTTCTGTCTAAAGCGAGCAGACATCTTACACAGCTAAATCACTAGTTACATGTATTCATTGACTTCATTAAATGTTGGCTGTCAGCCCCTCCCCACATCACATCAATTAGTTTTCTGTTGCTTTCTATTTAATGAATAAACAGTCTCTTTATAAAAGCTTCAACACTCACATAAAAATATATGTCTGGATATAATTAAAGAAAATAGGCAAAGCAGTTTTTTTCTGCCACATACTTACAACAGCAAAAAATTTGAGATTCACTTTTTGCTAAAGAAACCAGACATTAATCCACCAACTGTGAGGGTCATAGACTGGGTTCACTGTGTTTTGGGGATTTTGTCT